TCTTGCACGGCCCGGTACCAATTGGTCCACGGACCAGTACCGGTCCACGGACCAGGGGTTGGGGACCACTGCTCTATACTGTAAATTTTTGTTAGTGAGAGTAAAATCAGGTGATTTTCTTTCCCCCACAGCCTCACTGTAAACAACACACCGACCCAATCGATAGCAGGAGAACCAGAGAGGAACTTTGTGTTTCCTCTCTGCTTCAGCAGCCAGAAGACGGACAGCGGCGTTATTAGATTTCATCGTACGCTTGCTATCACTTCCAGTACATTTGTTTCGTGCGAGATGCGCTCTTCCTCAAGGTTGATGCAGGAGTATTGATGCCGGTATGGATCGTAGCGTGCAGCTGAGGTCCGTTTGATGTATCCAACTGTATCTGGTCGTCGCCTCATCAGGCTGCAGCCTCCCATCGATCCCCTCCATCACGCCGTCATTAAGTGCTGGATGACATAATTGCCTTTTGTAGGCGCTGCGGCGCGGCGAGGCAGCGCGGACTGAGCGTGCTCTAATTCTGAGCCTGATAATTAAACGGGTCCGTCGTCCCATTGGTCCTTCAAAGGAACATGGACCCCCTCCACCTTAACGGCAAACTGCAGAAATCAATCACTTCTAATACGCCGTGATTCAGGGGCTCCTTCCATCTGGATTTCATTTCCATAATTCAGGCCCTCGATGACTCCTCTTATTTTATTTTATGCGTGTGGTTGGCTGCCTGCGAGGAGCTTCGCTCTGATCTGGCTGCTCCTGCTCTGCGCTCATTAAAATGCAACACTCACCAATTAATCCCATCAATACGGGGATACCTTCGCTGGCTGCAGCTTCAGAAACAAACCAAGTCAAAAAAATAAAAAACAGCAGCAGCAGAACTCTAAAGAGTGAAATTAGCAACAGTACATCAGTACAGGATTAACCAAAGACCATTAAAGATGTTTCCTTTCATTCTGAGCAAAATAAGACCTTAAAGTGGGATGTTTACACTGCAAAAACACAAAATCTAACCAAGTATTTTTGCCTAATTCTAGTGCTAATCTTAGTACATTTTAATTAAGACAAACTATCTGACAAGTAACATTTTTAAAAGAAATATGAGCTTTTTTAGGTCAAGAATTCCTTAATGTTGACAAAAAAAGATTATTTCACTTATTAAAATAAATTTTTCCATGTTATAATTGAAATAATCTGGTACATTTACTTTTTAAAATCAATATTGACGAATTGTTGACTTTAAACAAGCTCCTTCATCTTGATGAAAAGTTATTTGTATGTTTGTTTTGCAGTAGAAACTGGACAAAAATACTTTGTAAGATTTAGTTTTTTCAGTGTAGACATTTTAATCCAATAAGTTTGAATCTGTTTTATTGTTCAAATCTCTACATTATAAATGCAAAATCACAGACAAAAGGATTACACTGCAAAACACTAAATCTTACTGTAGAAAATACTTGGGAACATTTTGTGTTTTTGCAGTGCACGCTTTAAAAAACAGACTTTTAAGCCTCATTAGCTTAATTTTCAATATTCACATGACCTGAAATAATCTGGTTAGTCGACCTCCATCATCTGAAGGGTGTTTCCAGTGGAAATCAGAGAGAAATTTAAAGGTTCACAGGTGAATTTATTAAAAAAACGCTGCAAGAAGAGAGACAAAGAAGGAAAGAGACAAACTAATACGAAGAACAACAGGAAAGATGGAGGACAAGATGAAAACAGAGACAAGAAGGAAGATAAACAGAAAGAAAGAAGATGGACTTTCTAGAAGAGTGAAAGGAAAGGCAGAAATAAACAGAAATAAAAGTAAATTTCTGAAAACATTTTCTGTAATTTGCCATTTCTTTTTTTTAGCAAATTTGTCATGGAAAACATTGTATTTTTTATAACTAATCTGTGTCTCCCAGCCATTCTTTCTGAGCTTTTTGTTTACTGAGGCTATCAGTAAGGATTAATCTCTGGGTTTTAGCCAATAATCAAATATTTTAACCAGTTTAAGGTGTTTTATTGAACTTATTTTGTGGCGTTTCAGGGTCTGAGCTGGAGGTTCTTTCTGCTTGGTCCACTTTTAATCAGAGAACCAGATGAGATTTCTGCACTTCATTTCATATTTTATCATGTCGAAGCCGCCGAGCGTTAATCTGTCGCGCTGATCTCTTCATTTGAAGAAGAAACACACCAAAAGGAACAGATGTCACCCTGCGAAGATCAAACCGCAGCGCTGATTGATTGTTACAGAGCCGCCGAGTGCGAGGATCAGGAAATCAAGCTGAAAAGCATCTAAAGGAGTCGACAGAAGAAAAGTTGTTTTATTTTTTCTCTTCTGTTTCTGCTCAGTTCAAATTAATCAGATCTGGAGTCTTAAAACTCCTGACATAAATCCTGGCCTTTTTTAAATGAAGGCAGCCTTGTTATCTTCATGTTTAGTTTTTTTCTCCTGTACTGAAATGCGACATGAGTCACATTATTGGATTATTGGAAGTTGTGTCCATCAGAGGTCTTGTTAGTGTCTCTGAAGACACTAAGACCCTCACATGAGGTCATTAGATGATCCCACAGACATTTAATGAATAAAAACTGAATCTGACCTTAAAATAAACGTGGCAGGATGTTTGGATAATGAACTCAGAGCAGCGCCGTGTCTGTTGTTTCAGCCTCTGGATTACGAGAAGAAGCGTCAGTACAGCCTCCGCATCCAGGTGGAAAACCCCCCTCCCATCTCGCGCTTCTACTCCATGGGGCCCTTCCGGGACGAGGCCAGCGTCAAGGTGGTGGTGGAGGACGTGGACGAGCCGCCCGTCTTCGAGCGCCCCAGCTACATCATGGAGGTGAGGGAGGACGCGGCGAGGAACACCATCATCGGGTCGGTCAGCGCGTCGGATCCGGACGACAAACACAGCCTGGTCAGGTAACCGACCGGAGCCCGACTCTGTCCCGGCACCGCAAAAAAAGTAGTTTAGTTTCTAGGGAAACATCTTAGTACACATCAAATTAGAGAACTTTCAGGAAACCTTTTAGCAAGAAATAAAAACTTGTTTTAGGTCAATAATTCCTTAATGCTGATTTTAAAATGTACTAATTCCACTGGTAGATTATTTCACTTCTAGCAGGGAGTCTAACTCATTTTCATCAACATCATGAATGTTTTCTAAGGACTGGTTAAGATGCAGAATGCATCGATAAAACGACCCATCCAACCTATATCAGCCTGGCAGCCCGCCAGGCTGATATTACCAGGCTAAATGTCTTTTGTTTATTTTGAATATATATTTTTAAATACACCAATAGCAGTAATAGCCAAGACAGGTTAAGCTAGGTTTATATAGAGTAAAAGACCTGTGATCTTCAGACAGTTTAACAAAATGACGTGTTCACACAAACTACGGAAAGACAAGTTTTATTTAATCTATTGGTGTATTTTCTTTGTTGTCAACTTTTAACATTTTTTAACAAAAAAATGTAAACAGTGGGGCGACTGGAGGACTGCCATGGCTCCTCTAAAACTGGACTTAGATTTCTAGAAGAAACCCTGAAATTTTACGTCTTTCTCTGTATTTGATGAGTATTTCCTAAAATTAAATATCTATAACTTCTCAAACATATGTAATTTACTGTATACAGAAGAAAACTGACTTAGTTTGACAAATAAAGCAGTATTTTAGCACAAAACCCAATAGAGTCTTGATGGCCACATAAATAGGTTTGCTGGGCCAGATTTGGCCCACGGGCCTCAAGTTTGACACGTGATGTTTTAGTGAAACAATCTGCCAGTGGAAGAAATACTTCTTCATCAGTACTATGAAGTTATTTGCTTCAAACAAGCTCCTTTTTGCTGAAAAGTTAGTCTTTTTTTAAGTGTACTAAGATTTTTGCAATAGAAGCTACACAAAAATACTTTGTAGGATTTTATGTTTTTGCAGTGAAACTGTTGTTCAGATTTCCTATAAGTGTCGTAGTTGAAAAAGATGATTGTTGGATTTAAGTGATTCCTGTTGGCTTCGGCTTAGAGAAACAAAACTTCACCTCTCAGCTGCTGTAAAGTCTTTCCTAACAGTTTGACTGTATTTCTGACTCGAAGCAACTTTAGCTGGAAAATGAAGGAAAGTGGACTGAAGGCAAATCTGCTGAAGATTTTAGTAACTTCTGGATTTGGTCAATAAAAGCTCGGCGCCCTGGAAATGAAATACTTTTAGCTTTAATGTTAGAAATGGACAAAACAAATGTCTGAGAATAATGAATGTTTATTAGATCACTACAGGCGCTGGAAACACAGAGTTACACATGCAGCAGTGGGTCCAGAGGTTCCCCCAGTTCATGCAGATCCGTAATTATCCGAATGACTCCAATAAACGGGAACGACGGCAGGGAGGTGCGAGGCGGCACCTCCTCTACGGCGCAGACTTTTTCATTTTTACGACCCTCTGAGGGAGTTGGCTCTCAAGGTTGAAGTTCCAGCGCTTTACTGCAGGTGTCAAATATGATATCATTCTCTTTTATCGCCCGTCATCAGCGGCAAAGCTTCCTGGTGGCATTTACCGCCGCTCCTCCGCGGAGGAGGGAGGGAGCCTGCAGGCTGCCTGGGATCAGGAAGTTTCTGGATTTATTGGCGCTGGTGACACGCAGACACGTGCTCACAGGAATGCAAACACGGATCATGGGGAGGCGCAGCTTTGATGGAGATGAGGAGCACTTTGTTGCTGAGGCGTTAGAAATTCAGCCGGTGTCGTCGAATGATTAATTAATTACACTCAGGCCTTTAAAATATGTTTAGAGGACGCTGTCCTCATTAAAAGTTCAGGCTCTGGTTTTTGTCCAGCTGGCCGGCCTGACATATGACTAAAGACCCCTGAAGGTGTTAAAAAAAAATAAAAATGGACGTTTCACTATTTACAATCTGACAGCTGCAGTTGCTAGTAAATAAAACTCAGGTTTAGTGGAGCTAAAGTGGATCTTACTCTACATGTTTGAGTTTGTACTTTGAAGCACTTCATCAGCATAAGTGGCAACAAGTTATTCCTCCAAAATTATCTCAAACATGAAGAAGAAATATTCAGGTTTTTACTCCACTAACCTGGAACAAACTTCCAGAAAACCTCAAAACTGCCGGAACACTGAAATCCTTTAGATCAAGGCTAAAAATCCAGTGGTTTACAGTTACCTTATTAAATGTCATTAAAGGTGACCTGGTATGTTTCCTTGAACAGGTTAGGATTGGTCGATAGGCTATACAAAACATGCTAATTACATCTTTTGCACAAACTTATTCTTAGAGAATGAGATTTCAGTCTGCTCAGTTCTGCCTGTTTTTAGCTCCTTTCACAATGAGCTGTTTTAGGACGTCTTGTCACTTTAGATCAGAATAAGCTGCTGGCCACGCCCCCTATTTACATTCACATGTGAAAATAGATCAAAAAAGATGTAGTTATACAACCGTTCACCTTTGAAAAGCAGAAGTGGAACCTGCTACACAGCCAACAAGAATGCAGCAAGTTGTTTCTGAATGGTAAGTCAACAGCAAAACACTTGTCTGTACGGCACATGCAGCGGTAAAACCAGCTGACCATATGTGCTTGAACTCCACTTGGGTTGCTAGGTAACGGGCAGTGCCTGCTGATTGGTCACATTTGCAGTTTTTGAAGTGGCTCATTTTCCACACACCCAAAAACGTGACTAGTTAACTGTGTTTCATTGACCATATAATTCAAATTACAAAAATAAATTTGCGTAATAGAAACACACCAATTAAAAAATACAATCAAGTTTTTCAGTGTTGTTTTTGGCAAAACTCCAAGAGAAACGTTTTTCGCATCACAAGTCATGGGATGAACATGTTACTACTGGTGGAAACAACAAAAAGGACGACAGGAAGTGGTAGGAGGATGTTTTTTCATGACTTATCACATAAACATATTCATGTATGACTTTAATGGCGTTTCCTACTTTATGGAAACACTCCAATTGTTAAATTGTGTTTTTTCGTCAGTAGCAGAATACCGATAACGTTTTTCACTCTTTTGTCATGGAAATGCAGATGTTGTCCAAAAGTGGCTCAGTAGTTTAGTTTTAAACTCTCTGGCTGTTTTTAGAAGCAGTTGAAACCCGAATGGAAGAATGAAAATTTACAAAGATGTGAATTTTGCATAATATGTCCCCTAAAAACATTACCCAGAAATTAAACGTATGAGTCCAGAAATGTCTGGAAATTTGGAAATATTTAGGAATCATAGTTTATTAACACCAAAGATGTAAAATATGCCAACTCAGCAAAAGTACTGCAGAGGCTTTCTGAATGTTTCAGATGTTTTAGGAATAAAGACAGAAGGAGAAGTAAATAATCACAGAGGAGGTGATTTGTAAAGATGGCCGCCGTTCCCCATCTAAGAAGAATTAGCTGATCGCCAACATTCCCGTGACCCTCCGTGTCCTCCCATCCATCCGACCGGCTGCCGGCCTGCTTACCGCAGCACTTCGGATCCCTGGTCGGGCCGAGCCACCGCCGTTATCTCCTCGTCAGGGTCTGACCCAGCCAGCTGAATTATTGCGATTCTTAGAAAAGCAATTAGCAGAGCCCACATCTGACACAGATTTAACGAGGTTAGAGTTTCAGCTTGGCCCGGCGAGGCGTTCCGAGAGGAAGGAGGAAACGGTCGGAGCTGGAGGAAGAGGAAAAACAAATCTGTGGAAGGAGGAGAGCGGAGCGGCGATGCGTCAGAGTCTCCCCTCGGGGTTCTCCTGCCGCTTACGCCGGCCCTCGTGACGCCCGCTCCTCCATTAATCACGCTGCTGCACGGCAGAGGTCTGGCAAGCAGAGGAAACACTCCACTGCTGTGTTGTTTGTGTGAAGAGTCGACTCGTCACCACGGGGCAGAGCTGCAGAAACAACCACATCAACCGATTCCCTTCGCTTTAACTTCATGTGTTTGTCACGGATCCAGGTTAACGTTCTGATTTAAATAGTTTAAATCAGAATACACTGCAAAAACACAAAATATTACTAAGTATTTTTGCCTAAAAGAATTGGAAAAATGTGTGTTTTTACATTTACGTTTTGAAGATACAACGAATAACTAAACCTTCCAAAAAAATAATTATTGTAGTAGTTTATGGATTTTATTTTTTTTCTGACCTGTTAGAACTTTTAGTCTACAGATAAATGTAATAAATCAATAAATAGATAAGATTAATTCATAAATGTAACTATTTTCCTTGCAGGAAAAGCTTCTACGAGGTGCAGTTGTATTGTGGTGCGTTTCCTCCATCAGGCCTGATCAGTGGATGCAGTGATCTGCATGGAGCTTTAATATCACGATGGCGGGTGTAGTTATAAATAACAAGCAGCCATATTGTTTACCAGTATTAGTTCAGCTGAGAGGAAATGAGAATAGTTGATTTCTCAGTTATTAATCCTCTAGAGTCTAATTTAATGTATTCTGATGGATTATAGTTAATATACATCAGTGATTTTTCAGTGGTTAAATTTCAGCTTTTATTTATGTTTATTGTGATGATTATATAAATAAAACCCTAATTTATGCTTTTTCTGAAAATTAGAACATCACATTAGGGCTAAATTAAAAAATATTCTTGGCATGTAAATGTACTTTACAGAACGTGTTTATTGGTTGGGGCTCCTTTAGTGTGTGGAGTAACTTATGATTTTAGATACGTAGCCACTACAGGAAACTCTGCGTTATTTATAAAGAGCCACTATTTTATGAGTTTATTGAGGATTTACAGTAAATATAAACTTTAGCAAGAAACGAACAGATTTTATGATGACAAATTAGCGTGTAGCTTCCAATCTATTAAGAAAAAACATCTAAAAACCAATATGTAAAACATATTTCTGGTACTTTTAGTGTCATTTTTAGTGTAAATCCAATGCAAACATTGCAGAAAAGCATTAAT